TATTAAATATCACGCCGTTATTTGAATCTCCTCTATATTAAGTGCCGCGATGGTTTCAGGCAGAGCCCAATAAAACATTATTAAGAAAGATTGAAGATGGAAGTGTACAAGACATGCGAGTGCTTAAAGGGGGCTTGATCAAAATCGATACGCTGATTTTGATTCGTAGACCAATAGTAAAATCAATCGACACTGACAAACTCAAGATAGAGCATATTTAAAACGTAGCCAGAGGTTAACATCATTGAAATAGCAATCTAAAATCTTAATTTGCAACCATTCTGTGTCCCTATACTGATTATTTGGTGCAGCTGTACCAAATTAAAATCGAAAGTACATGTACATGTATAGTTGTAATTATATCAATCGTACGTTACGAAATATTGGCACAGCTGTGAATCATTATAGCCTTCACAGCTAATCTATGAATTACCCTGATTACTGAGAGTGGGCACAAGCACGTGACAAATTTCCTTAGACCTATGCTCTACAGGTTGTTCATGTATAATTGGCCATGTAGGAATCACGGCAGGTTTGAAAAAAAAAACAGTCACGAGGCGGTATCAGGTGTTCTGGTTAACCCACCACTTCATTAACCTCAAAATACCAAACTTTTTACAAATAAAAATCCACTTTTCTCTCAATCGTTGGTAAAAAGGGATTGAAATTTTTACAAAAGAGAAAATAATGTCTTTTGAAAGGAGTTTAAATGGTTTAAAATTCTGTTAGCGAAGATAAATCTCTTTATAAAACCAGGATGAAACAACAGTAAAAATAAGGTAGCCTACCAATTACTTCCTATGGAAGGTTTGATGAGATTAACGTTTGTTAATGGAATTATACCAAGCGTAGGTGCATAGCACATTAATTTTAACGAAAACTTGAAAAAGTCGAGAAAACGAATTTGAATTATCCTGTTATTGTTTGTTTTGATTAATCTGCGTCAAATTCTCATTGTTCAAGAACATTGAAGAAAAGTAGGTAATTTTGCAACTAGGTTATCACGACAGAACTCAACGTACCGTAATGCTACCGATCTACGTTTCTCAGCACTGTGGCTGTCGTGGCAAATGTTTTGACAGTTTAAAATTCTGTCCCGGCATCCATGGCAATTACGGTCTGTCACGTTTGCCCATCCCATCCCCTCGCGTTGTCTCACGTTCATCCCGTTTTCCCTACGGTGGCTTGAAGTGTGATTGCCTTGGCCACCGAGAACATAGTGTAAACGTTTACTCGGTTGCCATTACTTGAGGAGTTTGTGAACAGACGTGTTTCAATCTCTCCGGCTTCCACGTTTAATCCGTAGACCTGGATGAAGACGTGAACAACGTGAGGGATCCCATCAGAACGCATCAGACAGGGAAGCAACCGACATGCATCCCTGGAAGACCTTAGTCGTTCGGATAGGACAATAAACTGAGGCCACGTGTGCTACAGACTGTGCACGTTAAAGATCCCTCGACAGTTGGAAATCGAAAAAGAACTGGCTGATGCTGCTGTCCTGGCAAAATTTCCCTCATTGTGACCTGCATGGTGTTGCCCGTCTTCATTAGCCCTCATGGTGCAGAAAAGTAGCACGTAAAACTCAATTCATTTCATCTCATTAAGTTCACCTTTTACGAGTCCAGATCGCATTAAGGAATTGATATATATTCACAAGATTATTGTGTTGCCATGGAATTTTTGGTAGAATCTTTCTGGAATATGAACAGAACCCATTAGTCATAAAATATAAAACCTTTCCTTTAAAAACCCAGATCATGGTAGGGAAATGATATTAGTGAGATTAGTAAATAAGTTGTAGAAAAATAATAATTCAATCTAAATGAAGGGGGTACTTGATCTATTTTCACCCCTGATTTAATTATAGTTTTATTGATTTAGAGAAATTACATCTCCTACTTCATGCCATTAATGCGCCATCTTAACTTGTTTCACCAATTTTCATGAGTTGGTGAAATCATTCTGACCACTGAAAACTATCAGAAGCGCAATCTGCTTCATTGTTGGACACGATGGTATGGTAATGAATGTTTAATTTTGTTGATTAGTGACCCGATGCGTTTTGCTGCAAAAATGCGCCTTCTAGAGCTAATTTTCTACTTTTTGCACATTTTACACTGCGCAACTATCCGTTGTGCAAAAATGTTCCAATCTTATTCATTCAGTAATTCACTACAGAGGTAGGTCATATACATTGCAAATGTTGCAGCCACTATTACAGTATCTTCAGATTAGGCGACACAAAATCATATTTTTTAAAAACTACGAAAACAAAGTCAAGCCTTGACTGAGACGGGCACACGAGGAGACAAAATCCCAGTATGTCGTTCTCCACCATGTCGATAATCAGAGCATGCAATTGAAATGAAAATTAAATGAAATGAATGGAGTTTTACGTCCTATTTTTCTGTACCATGTGGGCTAATGAAGACGGGCAACGCCATGCAGGGTGCAATGGGGGAAATTTTTGCCAGGACAGCCCCATTAGTCTGTTCTTTTGTCGATTTCCTACTGTCAAGACTCTAATCGGCGATAAAAATCTCCGACTAAGACTGCTCGTATGCCCACATCTTTGGTCTCTTGATTCCCTGATTAACATGTCTCTCCATCTTTAACATGGTATTGTTTGCTACAAAATAAAAGTCTGAAATGAAAGACCATGCAGAAACGAGTTGAAATTTAGCCACAGGGACACGAGAGAAGCATTTCATAACACTGTCATTATTAAAACGAAGTGAGGGAAAAGATTGAGTTGTGTTTGTCTCAGCCTCCAGCCATATCTAACAATCTTACTGAATGCAATTAAGTAAAAAAGACAAGATTCCCTTCTCTCTTAATAAACGGTTATACAACTATCCCACGGCTAGCAAACAATTTCCTCTTTCTCTCCTTAAATAGATAGAAAATTTCACTCGTTTTCCTGTGATTATGGTGACCTTTGGACCTAGCCAGGGGTCAGACTGCCTTGTCTCCTGGTTTTAATTAAGAAAAAGACGCAATCAACAGCGAGGGATTTATTTGTATTAGAGAAACATTGTCTGCAAAATATTTCTGTTAATGCTATTGGAATGAGGATGACAGGTTAACGTCCTTTACCAGTTACTGACTAGGTAGTAGTTAAAAAGATCAAGACTAAATTGACGGTCCAGTACTTTTGGTAAGATTGATTGAATAACAAGATACAGATTGAATAACAAGATACAGATTGAATAACAAAATACAGATTGAATAACAAGATACAGATTGAATAACAAGATACGAATTGACTAACAAGATACAGATTGAATAACAAGATACGAATTGAATAACAAGATACAGATTGAATAACAAGATACAGATTGAATAACAAGATGCAGATTGAATAACAAGATGTAGATTGAATAACAAGATACAGATTGAATAACAAGATACAGATTAAATAACAAGATGCAGATTGAATAACAAGATACAGATTGAATAACAAGAACCAGATTGAATAACAAGAACCAGATTGAATAACAAGATACAGATTAAATAACAAGATACAGATTGAATAACAAGATACAGATTGAATAACAAGATACAGATTAAATAACAAGATACAGATTGAATAACAAGATACAGATTCAATAAAAAAGACAAGAATAAATTGCATGAATTACTGATAATGGTACTTGAAATTTAGTAGGAAAATTGTCTTTTATACGATTTCTTTCAATTTCTAGAAGAAACCATGGGAAATTTTTCTGTTTTTCTTATTTTGTGCTATTTCTTTCACCATTGAGTGAGTAATAGGCTACTAGAAAATCAAATTAAGATGCTTCAGTCAACAAGGATTGGAAAGTACGGCCGACGGTCATCTTATTTCAATGAGTACAAATATTTGGAAAATTTATCAAAATACCAATTCAAAGGAGTTAGAAATTGTCGATATTGTGGTTGTTAATTGGGCCCACCTTGAGTATTTGTTTTCATAGTTGAGGTATTGACTCGTGGAATTGGCTCTAGCCAAGTTTCTTTTCTGACTATACATTGGCACCACTCTGAAATATGGGAAGAGATTACAAGTGTTCTGTTTTCTATTCTGGCTATTCATTATTTGTAGCCTTTTTAAGAAGGTGAAAAAGCAGCTTTCTGCATGTTGAACATCTATAGTACTGTAATTGACAAGAGCTCATCTTATGTCTCACAAGAGCGATGGTTTGGTAGATAAGAGAGGTGGTGTAGGAGTTGCATTCTAATTCACTGACAGTTGTGGGGGCGCCGTAAGAGAATGATCCCGTCATTGAATAAAAATATGTCATTTCTTCGTGCCCGTGAAAAGGGGACATTTTGCTCACAAAAATAACGAAACATATACATGAAGAAAAAGTCATAGTTTTTTTTATCAATGGATGAGGTAACAGATTTTCGACAACATTTTCAGACTGAAATACGATAATCTGGTATGTCGTATCCTCACAATGGCAAGCTGGTTGGTTGGTAGATGACAGGCTACCGTTCGCTTCGAGCGGATGCTGATATCGCAAACTAGTTAGTTGTTGGTAGTCGTAGTAGTTGGTAGTTGTATTCAATGGCAAGCTATTACGACTCCGTACTTTATACCGTGACTGCAATAGCTACCTTAATTGTATCACGGAATGCAGCGAATTGGATTGGATTGTACGCCAGCGAATAAAGCCAGTGAAAGGTAAAGGCATGAAGGTTTTGGTTCTGTGTTCACGGACTTTCTGTCAAAGTTTGATTGACTGTATTACTTAGCGTACAATCCAAATCGCATCATTTACCAATTTCTGTGATACAAGAAAGGTGACTATTGCAGTCAAGGTATAAGCTTGACATTGTGAAGATGAGTTGGTTGATAAAACGAAATTCAAAATCAATTTAAGTTTTTTTTGAGTTTGGAAGATTGAAACGTTTAACAGTGATATAGTCAACTATTTCAGACTGGTTTGTTAACAGGTGGCGGAAAGAATATAGTCCCATTTCCAGTTGTATACAGCTTAATCTGTCCCCTATTAATAATAACCCGGTTGTGAACGAGGAGGATAGATTTGATCATAAGAAGGAGGGGGTGCTCGACGATCATTATAATATGGTTGATTGGGATTTCCTCTGTTCATATTGCCTGTAATAAATAACATAGTGTCAAAAATTTAAAATTAATATATATCAAGAATTAATATATAGTTCATGTCACCAAAAGTAACTACCAGGAGAGGGTGCTGTTCGCCTATCTTATTATTGTAAAAACAAACGGTAGTTGCCAGAAAATAAATTTGGGGATCCATGACAGTGATGTAGACCAAAACCAAACCTTCAGCCAAAGCCAATGCTTGTTGTGCCATATAATTTGGCCCTCACATCATAGCGATCACCAGTTGCATATGATTGCGAATAAAAATAGCGGTTATAAGTTTCGGTATGCCGTTCATAATACAATGAGCCATGGTGTTAAATCACCTTTACCTCTATTGTACTGGTCATGTCTTTCATCTGGATAGGGCTGTGTTCGAGCTGTCTTCTTGGCTTGACAGTTTTTAATACAACATATTAAAGTGATTATTAGACCTATCATTGATATACACCCAAACACTATACTGATAATCTGCTGTGTTCTGAAATTAAAGGTACGCTTTCAATACTAATGAGCTATCTTTAACGTTTGTAGCGTATAAGAACCTCGACTGACATATTCCCCCCCTTCCATAATTATTTTGAGCCCCCAACCCATATGCAGTTTTGACCGATGAGGCGTAGGCTAAGAGATGATAAATGTCTTGATTGTCCCTCCCCGAAGTAGTACCAGCAATAGATAGCACTGGCTTTAAAAATTAATGCTTACGATAAACAACACGAACTTCCACAGCAACCTCTCTCACATACAGACTCTATACATTGTCCGTAACTAACATCTGAAATTAAATAAGATACAGCTGAAGACTGCGGCTATGCAAATGAATTATAGGCCTAGTTTGAAAACCTCACATACTAGGCTTTGGTTATAGGATTACAACGCAATATAATGACTTTATTTATGTTTAAAGGTAGGTAATCCTTATTAGAACTTTGAACTGAATCAAAATTGGGTTTCTTCTCTCTTTGGGTAGTAGATTGAAATGGAACTGAGTTTGGCGTCTTATTATTCTGGGTTTTATTGAAATGTAGTTTGACTCTGACACTAAATTATTTGGATATAATGGCTGCTGGACTTTTTCGTTGTTCTGCAGTTACTATGACGATAGTATTCAATGAGTTGTGAAGAGGTTTTTTTTAACTTTTTAAAGGTGTATGGGACTATTGATAAATATTTTTCAACCATTCCAAATTGCCGTCGGATGTAGGTCTAAACATACACGATACACATACATGAAACCTCTTTATAATCCCTCTCTCTATAAATACATGTACCAAACTTACCAAAATACAGAAGAAAACTCAGCAATACCGTTACGAAAAACATTTTTACTTAAATTTCTTATATCCTTATTGGTTCTCCATTTTGTTTGACAGATATTGACGAATCGTGTCATTGAAATCAAAACAAATATGGCTTTATTCTTCAATACAAAACATTTCGTCTATTCATAATGTAGGCCTACGTATATATTGCAGGACTTATTGAACACACAAATAGACCTTTGTCACCATGATATTATGATATATTTCGGGATTGTCGTGTCCCTTTTGTTAATTATTAGGGCTGGGCATATACAGCGGGTGACCCAAAGAAACAATAGCACTTTATTTCAGCATTATTTATAAAGTACGAAAGCCAAGACTATAATATTTTGACCTCTTATTAATTACATCATAGCTTAGTAGGTTAAACACTTTGAAACATCGGCATTCTAAAATTCCTGGAGCCTTGTTCTTAAAAAATTAACTTAAAATGATTTTCGTGTTCCAATCATCTGATTGGTCAATCATTGATTTAAAATTGATTTAAAATTTTGGAGAATAGTAAAAGCCGAAAGCAGATCTTCATATTTCTCTTTCTCTAACTACTGAAAATTCAAAGTCGTTCAGCATTATAAATCCGTCATTTTGTGAAAAGGTGTCTTATATGTAATTATGAGGTGAAAATATTAAGGTATTATTATAGCTTTGATATATTAGGCCTATGTATATCACCGAAACGAAAAGTGTTATCGTTTTTTCTGGGCCACTCGATATACACATACCATCTAAAGAGGGTTGATACGTAGAGATTATCTCTAATCAATTAGATAGTCTAGAATATAAACACTGTAGCTCATTGTCGGCATTATTTTGAACCAATTTATTGTAGTCTGATATGACCAGAGTTATATCCCTTACAAAATCTTCAATATGGCTGCCTCCATGAGACCATGAACTGTTGCGGTTCAGTGATGACTATTCTAGAAACTTCATTGCCTATAGAACGAAATAAATATACTGATTCCTAGAGAAACCGAAGAGTTTGAAAGGAAGGTTTGAATTAAGAGCACTAATGAATGAGTTGTCTGACTTATCATAGGGTTATAGGGTTACTTGGCACCTAACCAAAATGGGCCCAAGTCAAAATGACCCCAAAATTAATATTTGATAACAGCTTAATCTTAGGTCAAAATGGCTCCCATAAAAAAAGTCAAATTGCCCCAAATAGATTGTTAATAACTTTACAAGATCACTGTGATAATTAGTAGCTTACTGGTGATTGATCTTAATAGGAAAAGTATGGGGTTTAAATGATTATCGTTGAAAGTCAATTGAGTAAAGCTTGTTCCTAAACCTAGGGGAGAAACTAAAGACCGTTGATTACAATGTTTGTTATAATTAGACCGATACACGATGTCAAGTGCGATGTTACCATGACACAAGCTTATGAAACTGTGGTCTGATGTGAGCAAAGTTATCTCCCTTACGTAAAATTCAATATGGCTGCCTCCTTGAATTATTGCTAGCTTGGGAATCAATTACGTGTCATAACTTGCCATTTCAGTGTGTTTTAACTTGTTAGTTCAGTGTGTTTTCGAAACTTCATTGCAGATTGAGATATACATGTAGAACAACATACATGTAGTGATATTTAGAGAAGTGGAAAAGGAGTCGTGAAAGTCATTAGGAAAGGATAGAATTTGTGATATTCTGTGTTTCTTTGGATGGTTGATAATTTAACTACGATTTTCCTAGACTCAAAGCAAAACCGAAGATGACGACTCAGTATACAGCGGCGAATGTTGAAGAAGCTGTAAAACAGTTTTATTGTAATACAGGAATACAACAAGATGTGGACAAATGGCTCACAGCTGCTCAAATCAGTACGGAGGCATGGTCCTTCTGCTTTGAACTGTTGTCAAAAGACAAAGGTTATGAAGTCCAGTTTTTTGGAGCCTGCACCCTTCATACTAAACTTTCTCGATACTGGCACGAAGTTCCCCCTGACCAATATGAAAGTCTCAAGAATAAGATTATGACCAAAGTCATGGAGTTTTCTGCTCAACCGAAAATGGTGTTCACACGACTTTGTGTTGCTTTAGCGTCATTATTATTACATACAGCACCCGAATATTGGCCGGATCCTATTCAGAATCTAATCACAGTATTTCAAGAAGGAGAAATTCCTAATAATAATGTGGTTCAGAGATGTAAAATTCTCTTAGAAATTCTCAAAGTGATACCAGAAGAGTTTTTTACAACAAATTTATCACAGAAAAGACGAGTTGCTTTGAGAATCGAATTACAAAAAGGGCTGAGGATTATTTTACCGTTAATTCAAGGACTTCTGTCTCCATCAACACCAACAGAAATCTACAACCAAGCTTTATGTACATTCTCTAGTTGGGTCGAGTTTGGTATTCCCATGAATGATGGTGAAGAGATAATCGGTCATGTCTTTCAGGCCCTGAATAATCCAGAACTATTTGATACAGCTGTAGATGCTTTAGTCAATGTATTTTCACACCCAGATTCACATCGTTTCCCCTACACCATCCAAAAACTCTTACCCCAGATAGAACTTTTAAACTGTCTGTTTCAAAAAGCTAGAGCAGAGCTTGACAATGAAAAAAGTCATGGAATTTGTCGCATAATTGTCACGATCGCTGAAAATCACACAAAATTGATCACTGACTCGGTTCTTAGTGATGATGTAACACATAGAAATAACGCTATGCAGTTAGTTAAAATGGTTTTAAGTTGTACATCATTGCCAGGTCATTTTCCAGTAGATGAAGGCTGCAGTGATCAGACCTTTACATTCTGGTATGTCTTACAAGATGAGATCACTAATACAGATGGACCTAAACAAGCTCAGCTCTATATGATTTTCCAGCCAGTGTTTTTCTCGTTAATGGAAGTTCTTCTGGTAAAAGTCCAACGTCCTGATGATAAGGAATATGCGTCTTGGACAGCCGACGAAAAGGAACAATTTCATCGATATCGACAAGACATTAACGATACCATGAAATATGTTTTTAATATTTTGAAAGAACCGTTATTGGGGTATCTGTGCAATGCCATCTATGGAATTGTGTCAAATTCGACAGGAGCTTCCACTAAATGGCAAGTGATTGAAGCCATTTTCTTTGTATTTGGTTCCGTAGCTGAAAGCGTAGCTCCGAAGGAATCTCAGCATTTGCCCAACTTGTTTAAAATGTTACCTCAAATCCCCTTTACTAATGATAAACTCGTTTCCACGGCTCTAGATATGATTGGATGTTTTGGTGAATGGATGAATCATCATCCTGATATGTTAGGATGTATCGTCCCCTTGCTGATACGAGGATTAGGGAACGCAGAGGTAGCAACGTCAGCCACGATGGCTTTGATAGACGTAACGAGAGAAAACCTGGATCATGTTCAACCGTACGCACATCAACTCATCTTAGCTAGTCAGACAGTACTGGAGTCGAATACCCTAAAAGAGAGAGACAATCTCAGACTTATGTCTAGCGTTGGACAAGTTTTGACGGTGCTTCCATTCCAAGAAATCCTGCAATATCTGGACCGTATCTTAGCGCCTCATCTCCAGCAACTAGACCAGTTGATAAAGCAGGAACCTTCTATGGAAATTAAACCTATGTTATTACTGAAAATTAAGCTATTAAGATGGTTATTTTCCTCGTTAAAAACTGGAAGGGGACAACCATCAAATGAGCCCAAGCCTGTGTTCACTGTCCTACGAAAGATCTTTCCTCTGACTAGTTCTTTAGTTTCCAAATGGATAAACCATACTCATATGGTTGAAGCAGTTTGTGAACTTTTTAGAGTTGCTTTGAGAACTTTAATGGATGATTTTAAACCTCTTGCCGAGGATGTGATGAAAATGTCGTGCCAGATTTATGAAGCAGTTCCAAGCGTTCCAGTTTTAGATTTGTCAAAGACTTTGCTTCTATTGTTCGCCTCTGAACACAGTCTAGCGATGGTGTCACAAACACTGTTCGTTACTGTGTGTAACAAGACTCTATCTTTCTGTCAGAATCTCTCTAAAGAGTACACAGACTTGATCGAAGGATTTATGAACCTGCTCACCAAAGTTCTGAAAAAAGACGACAAAAAATATTTGGTGCTGAATAGTTCCATCAGTCCGTCTGCCTTTTTCCATTCTGGATTGGTTGCCATGTCACTTCCTGAACATCATACTGTACGATCAGCATGCTCATTTTTATGCGAGTTTCTTCACGTAGGTCAAGAAAATCTACCAATTAAACAAGTGATCGAAGAAAATGGCCACATGCTGGTGGATCGTATCTTACAAGCCATTGGTGGAAATTCTCCAAGAGGGGTCATTGAATATATAGCAGACGTCATTCTTTGTTTGAATAAATATCATTTTGAGTTTTCTCACCAATGGCTGTCGGCCATGATAGAACAAGATGGCTACCCTTCCCACTTTCCACAAAGGAAGGAAAAAGAGCAATTTGTGAAGACTATTTGTCTCGAACGAATGAATAAAGGTAAGATTCGAGATACTGTTAAGGAATTTGCATTATTATGTCGTGGTTTGCTAGGAACAGAATATGGTGCTCAGGCAGCTGCGTTGTTGTAAAATTTATATCCATAATTTTAATTTTTTTTATTTGGGGGTTTTGTGCACTTTTTGTATCCTTCTGTTATCCTTCGATTTCAAATGCTGTATTGTACATGAAGTGAACTTTTTATACTAAGAAGGATATGAATGGGATAGGTCAGCAAACATTATTATTTTTTTATATTTTTAAAATGTTATATAATTTTATTTTAATCTAAGTTTTTGTATAATGAGAATTATGTAAGAAGGTATATGAGAATTGCTTGTTATATTATAGTCCCGTAACTTACAGTTACTTGTATTGAGTTTTGGTAGTAGGCTATAAATTACAGCTTATATATAATAAGATATCCCCAGACCCCCTGGTGTTGATTATAATTAGGTAAGTAAGGTAGATAGGTTGTTACCATATCTTACAGTGACTTGTATAGAGTTTTAACCCCAAGGGTGCCCTTTGGCTGAAGGGCAGAAATATCGCTACATTGCTGTCTCTCGCATTGTTGGCGTGAAAACGAAAATATATACAGGCCTATACATGTATCGAGTCGTGTTTCAAAGCTTGTAATCCCTTGTTAATCCCTTGTTAATCCCTTGCTAATCCGCATAAGTTATCTGGTTAACTGGCTTCGCAGCTGCAAAAAGGGCAGGGAGCAAAGTGAGGTAGCCCAGCTTTAGATATAACCATCAATGATACGTAAACGTTTCTTTCAGTCGGACAAGAAGCTGCTGATAGAGCTTGGGTGGTCAATAGTTTATTTACAAAACAAATAAATTCATAATATTTATTAGGCGATGTGGAACTACACATACAAAATGAACATTAACATTAAAATAAGGAAACTGGCGTTGACTTGTCTAAATCGGCACAGGGAGACCAGAGGCACACACCTGACAGTTCCGTTGATTGGATGTTCAGAGAAAGATAGAGCCGTCGTGAATGACTGAGCTCGAATAAGTTAGTTAAGCTATGAGTTTGCGACTGAAGCTAACTGTCCAAGTTTAAGAAAATGCTTTGAAGAATCTGTTTAGGGAACAAATTAAACATTATAATCTTCAAATGACAGTTAGAATTAAACAGAATATTGGAGAAATAAGAAAACTATTATGCTTTAATACTTCTGTCTTAAATTCAGCAACGTATAAAGCAAAATTACAATA